TGGCTGCGGCCACACTGAGAAGAATGTTGGGGTTCCTCAGATCCAGTCCCAACTTACACCTCACTCACTTTACTCACAACCCTGTCTTCCCACCCCTGGCTTCTTCCCTCAGGAAACTGTCCACATACGCCCTGCTTCAGGCTCCTTGCGAGGGCGATCTCTCAGACAAGTTTTTCTTCAACCCAGAGCTCTTGTTTGAACTTCACACCCAAATAACCAGCTGCCAAGTCTACATTTCTATTTGAATGGCCTAGAAGTGCCTCACACTCTGAGCATTGTGGAGCAGAATTATGCTCTTCCAGCCCTGTCTGGCCTTCTCATCCCCACGTCACTGTCTGCCTCCTCTTAGGGCCTCGTCTCACTTGTATTCTACTACACTGAGGTAAGTTTGAACTCTATTTCCACTTTAACATATTATCAAATCCACAAAATGGACTTCTAAGTTCAATAATCTTCTTTCCAAGTTTACACAAAGCCCTAATATTAACATGGGTTCATAGGAAAGCATGTCTTAGCAAATAAAACCTTTCATGCAATTTCAATAGATTTCAGCTGCTGTTTGTCTCTGCACTATTGTATTTGCACTGCGTTGTGGAACTAAATTACACTAGTCAGTCTAGATGATGAATTCATTGATTACAAATTATTGCCCATACTTTCCAGTGATTATACATTTATTACTATTTTTCAATTAAGTATTTTTCTAAACAAATGTAAATTCACAAGTTTTACATTTGCAGAGTTTGCTCTATTTTAGAATAAAATGGAAAGCCAGGCATGGTGGCGCATGCCTGCAATCCCAGCACTCAAAAGGCTGAGGCAGGAGGATCATCGCAAATTTGAAACCAGCCTGGACTACAAAGTGAGCTCAAGGCCAGCCTGAGCTGCATAACAAGACCCTGTCTCAAAAAGACAATAAAATAAAAATAAAATAAAATAAAATAAAGAGCTATTTAAAATGTTATCTGACATTCTTTTGTTAAGTATATACATGGTAATACATTTTCCCAGTTTATGGCTAATTTCCACCTTGGATTTGCACTCTTAGTAAACTAAACAACTAACTTACAGCCAAAAGTGAATATATGCATGTGCTCTCTTCTATTTTCATGAATGTTTGAACTCTTTTACCATCATTTATTTATTTTATTTTTTTATTTTTTGGTTTTTTTCTCCAGTACCGGGAACTGAACTCACGACCTTGCGCTTGCAGGGCAGGCGTTTTTGCCACTGAGCTAAATCCCCAGCCCCTTTTACCATCATTTAAAAAATATTTAAAATTTTTTTCTGTGTAAATATGAGAACAGGATTTAAAACTTTTTCCTACATGAGAAGCAGAAGTGAGTTTCCATGTATTTCCCTGTCGTATAAGATTATAAACTGTCTTTCCCATATGAAGTTCCTCCATTCTGGGATCACCATTATGTTTCTATGATTGCTTTCCTGTACATGGACTAGTTACGTGTAGTTTCAATTAAACTAATTCTACAGTAAACAACTATATTTGGTTAAGCAAGTTCCCACCTCATAACTTTTTCAAAAATAATTTCCTATTCTTATCTTTTTACATTTAGAAGTAAATTTTAGAAAAGTTTTAAAAAATATTTTTATAAAAATTGACTTCAAATAGAAACTAATATATACTGGGTATGGGTATGATAACAAAATATATATTTATTCAAATGATTTTAAATTTTCAAATGTTTCTTGATATTTTCTAGATGAAAATGTAAATATTTAGCTGTTATTCTTTGTAATACAAAGATTTTTTTTCACTTGTGAATAGGACTCATGTAACTAATGCATATTCGAATGTGTTGTTGCTGATGTGTACAAGTAGTAGTGATTTTTGGAGGAGTATATTGTGTCCAAGCATTTGTTAATCTCTCATTCATGCCAATAATTTGTTTGAAAATAAACTCGAATTTGCACGATGTTTGTGTATCTGCAAATAGTACACCTTTGTTCCTTGATTCTCTTCCTGTCCCTTGATAGTGTACAAAACTTCTCTGTTTTTGCCAGTTTTACAATTCATAAATGCATGACTCGAGGACCGAAAGCCATCTGCTCAACATGAAATTATCAGAAATATGTGGCCTTTATCTTCCTGCTGCCTGGGCGAAGGTAGGCCCTGGCTCTGACGAATGCCAGCAAGCACGGATGGCCCAGTGAAGGGGTCCCCAGTCACTCACCCCTGCGTTACTTTTCGACCACCAGTACACCTAGTGCTTTAGAAGCTTCTTTCTAGTGGAGTTGAGTTCAGTCTCTCTTCTCCGAGGTGACTACCTCCTCCAAGCCCACCAGTACTGAATGAAATCTTCTTTACATGTTTAACCATGTCAGGTGCAATTCTTTCTGACATCACGTCTGTAGAATCATCATATTACAATTTTGGCCAATGCCTTGCTTCTTTCATTACCTGCAATCATTTGCCCAGCATAATGGAAGCTGTCTGCAAAGCCCATCAGTATCATTTTGAGTATAATGATCTCAGGCTCATTCAAATTTTCTGTGCATTTAGCAAATTTTGGCCATTGAAACATTTTTACAGATTGCCTACTTCATCTAAATTTTAATCGTAATTACATACATTTTAGTACTATTTCAGCTATGATTTCATAATTTCTATTTTATCTGTAGAGTGCTGAATACCACTTTCCCGTTTTTATCTGCAATCTCTTTTCCTGTCCCTCTCCCCTTTTACCTGTCTTCTCTTTCTTTCTGTTATCTGTCTTTTTCTTCCCCTCTGACAGTTTTGTTGAAAGTTTTTACATTTCATTAATCCTTCAAAAAATTCTCACTGATGTTCGTCTTACCATTTTATGATGCAGATGTGTTAAAAATATCTTAATAATACTGGGAATTTTGTGAATTTTTCTATGTAACTCCTGGCCTAAGTGTTATTTTAACAAAGTTATTTATAACACACATGGATGTGTAACATTAAATAAATGCATCTATCCGATCATGTCAAGCACCTTCAGGCATCTTGGTTTTGGGGTTGTTCGGTTTACTCAGAATGTTCTTGTTTAATGTTTGTATCACTTGCCTGTCACTCTTTCCATAAACCATACTTATTACCACCTTATCTGCACAACTCCATACGTTTCATGCTCTTAGAGACGTCTACAACTCATACACAAATGCATCTTGGCAGAAAGCACAACTAGCTAACGTGGCCCACCGGTCCTTCTTCCTCATTCCCAGAACCACTTGCAGTTACGTGTGTCAGAAGCCTAAGGCTTCCCAGGGGGCATGGGAATGGGACGACCACCCCTACCCTGCAGGCCACACTCCTTCCTCTCCCCGGGTGAGTAGGTATAGAGGCATAGGCAGAACTGGGAAGTTTTCTGTTGCAGATCAGAGAGTCTGCCTGAAGTGGCCACATAACCCAGCCATAGCAACACCCTCTTGAGCACAGTCACATGAAATGTTTTCTGTCTGATTTGGAATTTGGGGATGCATTTAGACCTGAGAGTTGTATTATTGTGGTTGTTGCTGTTTTTGTTTCTTTATATCTGTCCCTTGGCCCAGTTCTACTCTGGTAACACAGTCCTATGCTCACTCTGATGACCCCAGACCTGTGCTTGAAGTAGAGTAGGAATGCTCCAGAACAAGTCACTCTTCCAGAAGGTGACATGACTCAGGCCTTGGTGGAGATTGAGCATATTTCTCGTATCTTTCCCAAGTCGCCAACTTTCTATAGACTGTAGCCCCAGAGGAAGCGCTGGCTGCAGCTGATTTTTGCTTCTTTGTTGGGTGGAGTGTGGATGGTTTTGCTCACAAACTTGCTGGACTGCATCTGACTTGCTTAAGGTCTCTGCTGCCTGCCCTGACGTGACTGCCTTGGCTGTGTGGGAAGCGACCCCTGCCCAGCAGTGCTGAGTGCACCCCATGCGGCACCATGGTGGCCTTCCATTTTGCTATTCATTCAATTATATATTTGCTTCTTCAGTGCACATGGATTTGCCTTTTAAAATTTATCCATCAATATTTTACTGTTAATTTTAAGGACTGGAGAAGAAGTCTAAAAGCCTGTGGATATATTTCCATTTTCTTGGAAAATGAGGCTTCAAAAAAGGCAGATTTGATATTTTTGATATTTTTATCTTAGGATAAGCAAAATAAATATAACACCACTGTGTGACTAAATCATCGCCATCAAACCACTCTAATTTAAATTATGTAAATGTTCAAAGTGTTCAGTAGTGAAATCATATTAAATATAGAATTCATTTAAAATAAACTGGCATTGAGGTAAATCCAAGATAATTTTCTTAGACTTAATTAATATCCTTTGAATAACAAAATGTAGCCATATTTATGTGCTTATTGGAAGTTTAATGGCATATATATGAATCCTCTTGCAAGGCAAAATATCCTAAGTATTCCATCATCATGCCAAAACAGCAAAGTTGTGCATAGGACCAGAGTAACTGCCATCATGAGCAATGATTGTAAAATCTAAGTTTTGGCTGTGATAATGCATATCTCAAATGAAGCATAGAGGACTTAATGTGCTTGGAGCTATATGGCATTAAGTACTTTAGAAAACATTAAGTACACATGTGGGCTGAGAACAAGTTCATGCTGTGCTCTGATGTTTCATTAAATAACCATTTTCTCTAATTTAGTATTAATTGCAAAATTAGAAAACTCTGACCTACGGGCATGGTGTTTATACATTGCTACACTTTCTGATGGAGTTCTCCATGCAGCCTATTTGCCTTCAATCTCCCACAGAATTCTATGAAATCAGAAGAGCATATGATTTTTAAGGACTTTTTCAGTGTTTCTTGCATAGCTCCTCTTCAGAGTTCTCATTGTTTAATATAGAAAGTGATGATGGGAAGAATCCCTTTGCCTTTGTTCAAAAGCATAAGGACATGTGAAAACCAGTTCGGAAAGTCTGAGAACAGAAACAATGTACTACCGTGTGGAAAGTAACTGAGTGTGCAACAGGCAGATCAATGTGATTTCACATTTCATGACATCATTACCTTTCTCCCTTAGGGAAGCTGGGACCTTCACGTCTTTCCCCTTCACAGTCTCTGGAGAGAAACATCAAGTGTTTAATTGCAGCCACAAGAAACAGATTTGGGAACACGTACAGAATGGGGCCAGCAAGCTGTCAGTGAACTGTGTGTAGGTAGGAAGGAGAGCATGCTTTTTCATTCTCAAAAATGATCTGTATCATCAGCCACAAAGCAACAACAGTGTACAGTACAGCGAGCTGTACTCCGATGATCCGCATCCTGAGGACAGGGAAATTGCTGGACAAGTTATAGTATACTTCTTCATTTAAGATGATGAACATTCAAGCAGAGATGAACTTATTTCTTTGTAATTTTAGAAAATACAAGAGAGCATCTAGAAATCTTTTCAAATTATTTAATCAGCACTAATTCAGCTTATTTCTTTCAGTTTATGTTTTTATTTCCAAAAATAAACAACCAATGTAAAATACTGCCTATGTCATGTAAACGTGGTGTTTTCATCTTCAGACTCAAGTAAAAAAAATCTAGTGTTAAAACTAAATTAAATTTGAGAGATGATTTCATCTCTAAGTTCATTTCATCATAAACTTCCAAAAACTTAAATATGCAGATGAGAGTTAAAGTAAGTCCAAAAAAACTGCAGCTCACCAGTTTCAGTTTAATGTGATTTTGACCGTATCATGTTTATGAGCAGCACCTCGAATATCATTACAGTTCCCTAACAGGCTACTATGAAGCAGAAGATGAGCTTGCTGTGTGCTTCCTTTCCAACATTAAAGATCCACATTCACCTTGTAGATAATAATACTTTTCATGCAATTGGAAAAGAAAAAGAAGAAAGTGCTCTACCACTGCAGTCCGTCACTCTTGCAATGGGAATGAGGGGTGCAATGGAGGCGCTGGCACAGGGTCCCTCTGCCAGTGACTTAGAATGGGCTCACAGTGCATCAAGAAGAGGGTTGGAGGTTTTATGCTAAGTGAAGCAACCCAGGCACAGAAAGGCAGATACCGTATCTCACTCACAGAGTGATCTAGGAGACCGGGCTGATGCAGGTAGGAGGGAAAGGCTACGGACACAAGTGGGCAGAGGAGAAGGGATGTTTACCAACGGGTACAGAGTTTCAGTTGGACAGTGGAAGTAAGCTGTAGCAACCTAGTAAGATGGTTGATTACAGTAAATACCAATACACTGTACACTGTGAAATTGCAGAAACAGATATTTTAATGTTTTCACCACAAAAAATATGGTATAGATTTTTAAGTTAGTCTGATTTAAAAATTTCACATTGTAAATACTTATCAAGACATCTTGTTATTCCCATCAACATATAATTTTCTGTTAATTAAAATTTAAATTTCAAAAAACAATGTCCTTCCAAGCCAGATTTGCATACAGCATGTAGAATTTTTGAAAATGGCTTTGGTGGCGATGCAGCATCCATGCTGCTATGGGTGGTGCTACACATATATTAGGGCCAGAGTTTTTGGGTTTCAGCACGTAATCGTACAATCTGAAGCCCTGGATTGCACAAGCACACTGAGAAGCTTCATTACTTTTTTTTCCGAGCTGGTGAGGGTAACTTATTGCTCTCAGATGTCCTCGCTGAGCCCACAGAGCTTGCGTGCTGTGGAATGATGAGTGGTGGCCCAGATAAATTCCCAGGGGGCGGCCTGGGTCTCAAGACTCCAGATTCAGAGCATTTATGTAAATGTCTCTGTGGAAAGTAGCAATAGAACACGCAATCTAGGCAGAGGGCACCCAGGATGACTTTGGCTTCAGTGGAGAACAAAGCAATGGATGTGGTGAGAGATGCTCTTTTATAAGGGATTCAAGGTAGGAAACTCAGCATTTCCTCTTTGAAGAAAGTTCTCAGAAAGCGATTTTTGCTTCCAAGCCGCTAATGGTAAGAAGGTTTCTGCTTGCACTGACTTTCCTGGGAGCCTTTCCAGCTATAATAGGAGGACTCTGAAAGTCAAAATAAGCAGGAAAAAATATTTTGGGGATGGATAAATAAATAATAGTTTTTTTTTTTAAATATGTGTAACCTATGTAGTTTGTTTCACCTCCCTACAAAGGAGATGTCAGCAATATACGACAGAAGCATAAATATTTTCAGCAGTAAGTTTTCATTATGATGTTATTGATTTTGGTACCTTTCTCCTTCAGAACTGAAGAAGTCTTCCCAGCTTTTTCTTTTTTAATTTCTGGAAGAAAGATCATGAGAAGAAAGGGTTAGAAGGAATAGTACAGAAAAAATTGCAAGTTTCTTCATGTGTTTACTCCTTCTGAGGCTGATAGAAGCCGAGGGCCTCAGATTTGGTATTCAGGATACAGTGGCTAGAGTTGTCTCCCAGGATATTTTGCAGTTAAGGCGTTGAACTAAAACTGAAGAAGATAAACAAATAAGCCCATGAATTATTATCACAAGGTGAAGACTATGACAGTGACAAAATAGGTACAAATAAAATGCTGCGTTCTGTGTCAGGTAATCAGTAACATTGTCTACTTACCACTATTAAGCAATGTTCCCTACTGTTTTGTCATTTAGTGTTGTCATTAAACACCCCAGGAGATATGTAGGTTCGGCTATTAATTCCTCTCTCCGTCTAAAGAGATTAAATCACTTCTCCAGGGCTGTTACATAAGAAACTTAGCTTTGAACGAATACTCTTGAAGCTGAGCCACAAAGGTGCGGTACCCGTACCCTCAGTAACAGAGCTGTCAGGACAGGCCTGATGCACAGGACAGGAAAACAGACCTTGAAGACCAAAAAGAGGTGAAGTAGCAGAGATGAGTGGGGAGTTTTCCCAGGGAGGTCGGGTTGGAAGAAGGGACATCGCAGAAGAACCTGGCAAACGTGCTGGGCTGGGAAGGGCAGCGCCGTGGTTTTGGCTGAGGGCTGCGTGAGTCCACTGTGGACAGTGCAGGGCTGTGAAAGCCGTGCCATGAGGCTTCCGAGGCTACAGCGGAGACCATGCCGTCTGCACCTGCTCACCTGGCTCCGGGAAACCTGGGTCTCATGTAAGAAACTCAGACTACAGACTACTACTCCGTGCCGGAGCAGCTGCACACACGCGGTCTGGCCACCAGCTCCAACTGCTCTCGCCCAGCAGCCGCCCCAGCTGCCAGGAATCTGCACGAGCCACTTTGCACACTCAGCGGCTGGTGGTTTCACAGGACTCTCACCCAAACTGACATCCAGTTGCAGTCACCCGGGCACCCAAGTGCACGCTGCCTAGCTTATCCTTCCGCAGTTCCTGACCCACCACACCATGAGCAAAGTGAAGTCGGCTGTTGCTGTTACACCATTCAGCCTTGAAGAAGTCTAAACATGCAACTAATACAGCAAAAAGCAGTTACCTGAGAACAAAACATTGGACCACAAGATTAGTTCCCTGTTAGGGACGTGAAGGTAAGAGAGAGGCTGTATTAATTCCAATTTTAAAACTGTGAAAGGTCTTCCGGGGGAAGATGTCATTTGGTTTAGGTGTACAAACTGAGTAGACCTAAGTTTACTTGGGTCAGGAAATCTCACTTAACTGTATAACCAATTGCAAAATTATAAGTCACAGGTTTTTTGTTTAAAAGAAAAGCTAAAACTCTTCCTTGGTTTGTAGCAGGACAACAGCCATTGACTGAGGTACGAATAGCAGAAGAGGGGCATAGCATCCTTGCTTGGAATGTATTTTGTGTCGTGTGTCAACAAGATTCTCAAAAAGAAAAATAAAGCCCAGGCAGCATGGAAAAAACAGACTGTGTGTGAGGGGCACAGAATGGAACAAAAGTCTTATTTTTAGATGGAAACGATCATTATAACCTGTTAATGTACGTTAACCCCTGGGTTGTATTGCTTTCTTCACAGACGGACTCGCCTTAGTGAATAAGTGAATCACATGAAAGTAAAATAAAGCAAAAAGTTAAATACTCTTTCATCACTAATGCATGAAAACTTCAAATAAAGAAAGATAAAAAGACTGATGGCCTCAGTGAGAATATTTTACCTTTTAAAGCTAGTGTCAAATAACTGGCCCATATTATCATTCATATCCTGGAATTAGTAATATTAATTTTATAAATTGTGTGTACTATTGCCAGATCTTTAAAAACAAAAAATACACATCAACTATGATAAAATAGCTATGCAAGTCAAGTTTTAATTTATTGGATTAAAAGTTATTTCTTTGCAGATGAAAATATTCAATTGCAGGGAACCCAGGGATTTAACTTTTTCAGTTAATAGCCTGAATACATTTAATTAAGAAGATAAACTATAAACAAGTCTTTTCTTTTTCTTCTAAGAAAAAGACGTAGCCAAATAAAGTAATAGAAGGTCTTGTAATGGAAGAGGGCAGCTGGAGAGTTTTTCTCTGGCATAAATAACCCTAAACAATGAACTCTCAAATGTGTTTAAAAGAAATAGTAATCATGGAGAGCATTTACATCGCTATTGTTTATTATTCATCATTCTCTATGATACAGTTCCATATCATGTTTTATGTGATGTTTTACTAGGCTGTTAACAAAAATGCTTTTGGTAGGCATCCTGGCTTGATGTTAATGTCACACAACTAAGATGACAAAAGAGACTGAAATTGGAAGATTTAAAAGATCTAAGTATAATCCTCAAGTAGTCAAGGACTCTTGAGTAAAGAAGCACCAAATTTAAAATTCTTCACCTTTCATATCCAGCTCTTTGTACTGAAGGGCTCAGAAATATCATTTCAAAAACTATCTTCCTTTAAGTTATTTTAGAAATAAGATATTGAGCCAAGCGTGGTGGTGCACGCCTGTAGTCCCAGCACTCAGGAGGCTGAGGCAGGGGGATCGTTGCGAGTTTGAGACCAGCCTGGGCTACAAAGTGAGCTCAAGGCCAGCCTGAACTGCATAGTGAGACCCTGTCTCAAAAAAAAAAAAAACAACAAAAAAAATGGAGATAAGATATAGATAATTTGAGGGTTTTTTAAAATGAGTATAACGAGTAAAAGCAATGTATCAAACTTTTGAAGTGTTTCTTTGGATGAAAAGCATAATTTTAAATAACCCTACAAGCAGTTTTCTCAGTAAGTTCAGCGGTACCTGATCATTTCTCAGCGGATGTTTACTCTGTGTCCCTCAGACAGCATCTGAGTGTTAAATGTGCTTCAGAACAACTTCATGCTTCTCCCTCAAGTGGCACCGCTCTGCTCCGAAAGTTCTCTAATTGTGCTGAATTAAATGATTATTTTAATATTTAGCACGAGTGCCTAACATGAATTTGTCACTGTGTTAATTGGAATGTAATTTTTGACATAGATACCTTTGACAAGCTACTTTATAATATTGTTCTATATATTCCAAACTCTAAAATATAAATTTTATAAATCCACATAGAGACAACACTCAAATTCTTGTAAATATCATTAAGGAAAATCAAATATGTTGATGTTTTGTGTAAAACTCGTTCTGCATTCTTCTGAGAAGACTCCAGATACTGGCCATTAACTTTTCATTAAGTGTGACATGGATGGAAATTCATCCTTAGCTTTCTCTTTGTGCTATTTAATCATTCTCTACTCTGTTTGCTAAATAATTATCCTATTTTTACTTTTAAAACATATTTTTCTTAAATATTTGTTTACAAATTTTAAATTACAACATTTCTAATTCAGTTACATGCACACACTGGTATACTTTTTAACCTTGGTACCTTTGCTGGATTTACATTATAAACATTTGATTTTATTTATAAAGAATAAAATTTCATAATTCATGCTATCCTTTGTCTCTGGCTGTACAATCCAATTAAAAAGTATACAGTAAAGTTTGTTTGAATGGTATCAGAAAAATGCTGTAAGTACTTAGGGGTCTGTGGCGAGGTATTTACTCCACTAGTGTCTGTAGAGGCGGGAAATCAGGTTGCTGCCTGTGAGTTCAGTTACATCATCAAAAGCGTGGGGAGACACTGAGTTTTAAGGCACTAATTATGTAATACCATTCAGCACTTAACAAATACACCTTCAAGTTAAAGCACTGTCTGTTCTAGGCAAGCTGGGGGTACCTGCATGCTGAAACTGGTATGTACCATGGCCAAGAGGTCAGACAACTGACAGACTCAGCACTGGTTTTATGTGGATCTTGCAGTGATGGAGAAGGATGTCTCGTACCTCTGACTTCCTTCCAGTTCTGCTGGCAGCTTCTCCTGACAGTGGGAGAGGTCTGCAGACTTTATCTAAGCTGAGGGCCCTATGCTGAACTCAGGTAGGGACACTCACTTCTGACTAAGTCTGGATCCACCTTTATAACAATTGTGCTTTCCAGCTGTGCTTCGTGGCTGCATACGTGGCTTTGAAATTGTGGTCAGCACTACACATTAGTCACCAGAATACTAACCAGAATTCCCAAGTGTACCTCAGTGGGGTGCATTTTAATTCACCTCCCTCTTTCTCTTTCTAGCTCTTTTAGAAAGGTTAGCAATGTGTAATTAAAAAATAGACTAAGTCATCCCTTTCATTTGATAAGGAATTAGAGACAGGATTTTAGCTTCTGTTAACATTTAAGAGATGAGCATCATAGGGACAAAGTTAGCTACTGAGCTCAAACGTACCACCATAGGTTTTGTTTTTCAAGGAAGCATTATAGTATTAGTGATCAAATGTTCTTCAGGCAATTATGGTCCACCTAAGATGTCAGCTACCATGTTTGAATCAAGCAAATGAGGGCAGGGCTAGGTCTCAGTCATTCCCGTGTCCACATGCCACGACTGAGCATGACTTTGTGTAGTTAAGCATTGCTACATTAGGTCTTCTTTTCATATGTATGTCTGGTGAGGTCAATGTTACTGATGTGAGAAGAAGCAAAACAGCAGTGGCAACCTGAACCCAGAAGAGCTGGTGGAAAAGCGCAGGCTGCCTCTGCACGGTGCCCAGGAGCGCAGTGGATCAGAACGTGGACTCCAGCAGCAGAGCGAGATCAGCAAGCACAGCTTCACCACCAGTGATAAACCTTCAGAACTGCTCTCCCTAACACCCCTGCAGCTGCCTCTGCTGAAGCAGTTACTTGTCGCCTGGCAGACACCGGCAACTAACCCAGTCTCTGTTGGACAAATGAATAACTTCGCCAAATTTTGTGCTGAGCACACTGTACCAGGAAACATACAATCTTCAAATGAAATTCTAATCTTCATGATCAACTTTCATTGTCAATTATTTTCCAGCCAAAGTCAAGT